TGGCTTCCACTGAGGGTTGTAAGCAGATCTTCCGTCTTCGGTATTGGGTAGTTGTCTAGTTTCGAAGCTTGGTTAATTGTTGCTTTGTAATCACCACATACGCGGACCGATCCATCTGGTTTGGCTACTGTCACTATTGGCGAAGCCCAATCTGAAAATTCAACTGGAGATATGATTCCCTCTCGCTGTAGTCTCTCTAATTCTTGTTCCAGTGGAATTTTCATGGCAAAAGGAACTGGCCGAGCCTTCACAAATTTGGGTTGTGCATCTTGATTTGCATAGATTTTTGCTGTTGTTCCTTCCAAAGTACCCAATTCTTCGGTAAAAACATCTTTGTGGGTTTCAAGAACTTCCTTCAATTCACTGCAAGGATGACATTCATTTATTTGGAATATTAAGGTCCAGTTCATTTTGATTACACGCAACCAATCTCGGCCAAACAGGTTTGGACCTTGACCTTTGACCACAAGTGCGAGTAGGTTATGCTGTTGGTTTTCATACTGTACTGGAACCATTACTTCGCCCGCTACTGGAATTCTTTCTCCGGTGTAGGTGCTAAGAACAACTGTTGTCTTGCGAAGTGGTGTCAAATTCTTACATAGTTTGTTGTATGTTTCTTCACTTATGATTGTCTTAGTAGCTCCAGTGTCTAATTCCATTCTGATTGGCTGGCCTCCCAGTTCTGCATCAATTGAAATCGATTTGTCTTTTTTTTTCTCTCGAATATTGTACAGCGAATATTCTCCCTCTTGGGCCCCCTGTGCATTAACCATTTTTACTTCCGTATCCTGTTCACGTTTCCCTCGACTTCCGGTTTCGCGTCGCTGTGGCAACTCTGCTTGCTTTGTTCCTCGCCTTGTGCTACGACAAACCTTTGCAATGTGGCCGATTTTATCGCAGTTAAAACATTTTAACTCGCGAAATTTACACGAATTTGCTGCGTGCTTCCCCCCACAACGGTAACATTCGGAGCGACTTGATTGCTGGTTGTCCTCACGGTTGTTTACACGATGTATATTATTTGGGTCTTCGATAGGAACTCCTTTGGCGCCCAAATCTTCGACGTGTTTTGATGCCGATTCCATAGCTAACGAAAGTTCAACTGCTTTCTTGTATGTTAGTTCAGGTTCTGCTAAGAGTCGTCTTTGAATCTTTTCGTTGTTGATACCACATACTAATCGATCCCGTATCATATCATCCAAGGAAGTGCCAAATTTGCAATGCGCTCGGTCATTCGACGTAATTCAGCCACATACTTAGCAATTCCTTCGTCAACACGGCGAATTCTGCTATGGAATTTAAATCTCTCTACAATGACGCTTGGTGTTGGAATAAAATGCTTTTCCAGCTGTTTGAAAATTTCTTTTATCTCCGTATCCCCCGGTTTCTTTGGCTGTAGTAAATCTCGTATTAATGCGTATGTTTTCGAGCCACACACGCTGAGAAATATTGCCCGCTGCTTTTTGGCGTCTGTCACTTCATTTGCTAGGAAATATTGTTCCAGCCGTTCGGTGTATTGGGTCCACGTTTCTTCTGCTTCATCAAACGGACTTACTTTTCCGTAGGTGGCCATTTATACGTGTGTTTCGCTTAAAAAAATCCTCGTCGCCAATGTTATAACCACCCAGTTCTGTGTCTCAGTACACGATGGCCCGAACCCCCAAAGGATTCTGGGATACTGTGTAATTTCAGGTAAATTTAGAGGTGACTTAATCTGATTTTCAAGTAAATTATAAGAGCATTGGGAAGTTGAAAGTGAATGCAATTAGACAAGAATGCAAGATTTTAGTAGTTGTATTTCAAGGCTTTGTGATCGACGGGTCTAAATATTCAAAATTTTCTCAGGGGAGCACTTCTGCCAGGGGAAAATTCTCTCGGGGGAGCATTCCCCTGAAGTCCCCTGGCTCTAGCGGAGTAGCAGAAATAGCAGTATATCAATTTTGTTAATACATGTATATTCTTTCGAAAGAAACACATGCTACTTAAATGGGCCATTCCATTTAATATAGGCAGCCGCCCCCCCCCCCCGCCATATTGAGGGATCCCTTCATAATTTCCTTAGGATATAATGGAACCCCTTGGATGCAATTTGTGGAAGTTACCCAAGAGGATATATCTTACTAACCCCTTCAGGATATCGCTTTTTCCCTCTTGGATATCACTAAAACACCTAATTTTTGCCTTTTATTAAAATCTCTCAAGCTACCCTCTAGGAAAATTTAAGATGAAGACCCCCCCCCCCCATTGGATTTCCAGACCCTACAATAGGGGGGATGCACATATTAAATGGAATGGCCCAATGGCACTCATGAACAAAACACACTATTAAATTTCAAACAGACAAACACTACTCTTAGGTAAAATAGTAATTTAGAAAATCAAGTAATTCAAACTCCCCAGGAGGGGGTGTACCGGCCATAGATATCTTATATGGTACCGGCCTTCCCCAACCATGTAGCGGCCTTCCCTACATCCCTGCGCAGCATTAAAATTTAAAACATACCATTTGGGTTGAACGAGGCCAAAAGTACTTAAAATTTATCAATGCTTGTTCCATATTTGACTGAGCCAAGAGACCAGGCAGCTGCGATCCTCCTACATAAATAGCACCTCCTGACCATATACCTGATGAAACCAGATACTACACCAATCTCTGATGATCATGTAGCTGTCATCAAACACGCACGCAAGTCCTTACTTTTTCACCAAGATAAAACATGGGTTAAAAGAAATAACGAAACAATGTTCGATGTTACAATGGGCAGCTACGATGGGGCAGAAATTTGCGAACTAGTCGGATTATTCATCCTAAGTAAACTTGAGGCGAAGTTCGGAAAGAATCAAGTTGGTCTGTACAGAGATGATG